GCTCGTTCATAGTACTCTTCTACATGTCTCACTCATAACGGATCGACAGATATACAAAAAAAAAAAAAAAAAAAAGAAGGAAGTAGTCCTCTTTTATTTTTTATTTATTTTTATCTGTTGATTAGGGCCGGGAGGAAAGTATTGTTAGGTTGGTTTTCCCTACCTGCGTTTTCCCTCCCCACCCACCCTTTGCATGCATTTCCGAGTTGGTATAGTGCCACGTCAGCAGTGCCACATCAGCAGTGCCACGTCGGTCACAGTGCCACGTCAGCAATAGTGTCACGTCAGCAGTGCCCCGCCACCATGACGGGCACAGCTCTGGGCATGCCAGACCAACTGGCCAACGAGTCTATTGCCGACTACAAACAGCAGTTCCAGGCTTAGCTCGCTCTGATCGAGGCTGAGGAACAGCGCCAGCTGGCAGCCCAGGCTGCCCGCCTACAGGCTGAAGCAGCGGCTACAGGCCGAACCAGACGCAGATACCCTGACTTGCCGCAAGGAGGCCCAAGATCTGCTGCAGCGGCATGAAGCCGCCAACATCGAAAGCTCAAGTTCCGACATTTCGAATCATCAAGATCAACCGAGCTGCTGCACACGAGAAGACAACGTGGCAGCCAGCCCATGTGGAGAAGGAAAATTTGGTCCACGTCCGAAGCATGTCGCTGCAGTCCAACCGGACACCATTGTGGAAAACCCGACATCCACCCAAGCATCACGTGAGGAAGATCAGGTGGCCGCCGTCCAGCCGCGAAGCAACAACAACTCCCGAGAAAAGGAAAGGCGAAAACCGCATCGCCGGCCGGAAATAGACAGCCAGTACCACAGCTCGGGAAACTGAGCTGCGTGGGAGGTGAGGCGACTCCACCTCTCACTCCGCCAGATTTGGCCGCCTTGCTAACGGCCTCCCTACACATCTGGGGAGGAGGCGCATGTCGCAAGTCCTCGGTAATCTTAAGAGGATTACGCTGTCCACTTGGTCCCACTGTTGGACCAACCACTCCACGTGCAACAATCCACCGCATGCACGGTTTCATCACCATCGGCAACCGATTCGGCAGCTTCGCCGCCATCTACCGTCGGGGATTCAACATTATGGTCAAGACTTGAAGAGCTCGACCCATTGACATTTGCGGTCTTCCAATGGATGCCCCTTCCCCGATCCGGTCGATTGCCGAAACCGCATTGCAACGTGGTCAAGGCACAATTGCGGGATTACTTGCACACTGCAGTACCAACTCTTGTCGACCTTCACGCCTACATTGTGAAGATCGACCACGAGTTCAAGACGCAACGGTACGACACATCGACGCACCATTGTTATATGTACGCATTCAGATTGGAGAGGCGACCTGCAAGGCTTTGATCGATTGCGGAAGCACTCGCAACTATATGGGTCACAGATTTCCGGTGCGCAATGGCTTGGGGCCACGCGTTCGGAGGAAGTCGCAGCCCACACAAGTCACGTTGGCCGACGGTCACACTCACAAGTCAATCGACCGGTACATTTGACCCCGTCCTCGTGTACTTCGCCCCGCATGTACGCGAGGCCGTGTCCTTCGACATTTTGGACACCGAGTTCGCAGATTTGCAAGCATCGGCACCGCTGATCTACGACGGCTACGTGTGACGAAGACCAGCTAAGGAAGCTTCGCAAACCTGCCCCTCCCACCCGGACTGAGGTCCCTCCCTCAAACAGACAGCTTTGCCCTCGCAGGTAAGCTCGGTCTTTCAAATAGGGGGGGGTGTGGCATACTGCGTAGCCACACGGGCCCTGCAGGGCCCGTCCCGCACTTTCAGCCTAAAAGCGTAGAAAATAGGGCTTACAGGCCCCGGTCGTTTCAGCCTGAAACTGAAAAACGAGGGCCTGCAGGCCCTATTCCATTTTCAGCCTATTTCTGGGCCTTTCAGGCCCAGAGGCTTTTCAGCCTGAAACGGAGGGCCATTTTCAGGTCCTCATTGTGTTCGACCTACCTAAGACCCAGGCACAAAAACAGGGTTTCGGGAACAGACTATTTCTGGCCTGTTCCCCACGACAGCAAGCAGGAGCTGCAGCTGCAGCCCCTGCCTCCTTTTGACATTGGCAAGAGCAACCTCCTGGACTGCCTCGCCTGCAGTCAGGAGGCACCCGGTAGTACATAGGAAGTTCCCATGCACTTTACGGGTAGGTAGTTGGACAGTAGGCACGAGTAGCCTTCATGATTCAGCGCAGCACTCAGGAGGAGCGCTGCAGGGAGTAGCTTAGCACTAGCAGTAGTCTTCAGCGCTGGGCGCTAGTAGCCATAGCAGTAGTCTTCAGCGCTGGGCGCTAGTAGCCATAGCAGTAGTCTTCAGCGCTGGGCGCTAGTAGGTGGTAGATAGTAGAGTTGGGAGAGATGGCTGGCGGAGGCCAGCGAGACTTACCTGTGGCGCCATAGCTCCAGCTCCATCTTCGAGGTACTTGCATCAAGGCGCCAACTTCACAGGTTTGTACTAGACTGAGAGAGAGAGAGAGAGAGAGTTCTTCTTCCTCTTCTTCTAAGTCCACCATCTCTTCTTCCCCTCTCACCACCTAACTTCTCAGTATCAGCGGACTACTACAGAGAGAGAGTTGTGACTTGGGACTTGACGACATTGGATCCAGACTTGACATTTGGGATTCAAAAATTTTGACGAGGGACTATTTGGGCCTGTGCCGAAGACTTGGTGTTGACGACATTCCCATCTTCCCCTCCTCTTCGTCTAAACCCCTTCTTCTTCGTCTGTGTATGGTAGGGGCTGACGCAGTCTTCCTGTGTGAAGCGCCATACCCCATTCACACCATGTAACGATGATGATGATGTATGTTCAGGGCTGCATTGCAATATTGATTGTTCGGATCATGGGTATCGAAGTCTTCCGCTGTGCTATCTTGTACTTTGTATTGAGAGGTCGGTTCTTGTTCTGGTCTGCACCGTTATAGTATGCAACATCTGGGGATTGGCTGAGGGAGGAAGGCAATCCAGTGGCAAATCGGTGGGGCTGCCTCAACAACCTACGGGGCTAAGGTTGGTCTAGGTGGTGAGAACAGGTCAACTTAGGTGGGCATTGGTTAGGAGGGCTTTGTCTCTGAGACCCAAGGTCTTGTTACAGGAAGGGCTAGGAGGGTTGCTGAGATTAGGGGACCAGAAGTACTGATAGCATCAGGATCGGCATCATCATCATCATCATCTTTTTAGCCTTATGGTGTTCTGGAAGTTTAGGCAGCATCGAGCTTTCTTCCACTGATGGGATATAGGACTTTAGAAATGGTCGAACCGGGACTGA